ATCCATACACACTTATACGTTACGGACAATTTAGATAACCTAAATTGCCTATACCACATGTTGTTTTTGGACTTGTGGAAAAAAACAGAGCACCTGGAGGAAACCCACGCAAACTCAAGGAAAACATGCAAACTCCACACAGAAATCCCAACAGACCAAGCCGAGGCTCAAACCAGCAACCTTCTCGCTGTGAGGCGATTGTGCTACCCACTGCGCCACCGTGCATTATCATTATTATAAGTATATTTTTTATCATGGCGAGAATTTTTACTAATATAGTGCAAACTACAAGCTATCGCACATACCTGGTCCTCACATCCTCAAAATGTAACTAAAAACATAGAAACAAACATATACAACTCCTTCATGTTCATTTAGGACCCAGTTAAAGAGATTAACGCTAGTGTTTAGTGACTAGACTTTCAATTCAGTGTTCTCTATAGGCATGCTTCCACTGCAAGTGGAGTAAAAACCTGAAGAGAAATCACGTTTGTTAAAAAGAAATTGGGCAAATTAGCATGCCGACTTTCACCTTAGTGCAGACAATGGATAGCGCACTAAAGGGAATGTCTGAGCTACATAATTCCTGTGTTTGTGTGCTCAAATGCTCCACATCTACCAACTCCCTCGTGAACCCCCTCCTCTCTCTCCCCACACACACATAGCAGACCTTTTAAAAACATGTAGCGACAAAGCGCTGATCAATATGTTCACTTTCAGCATGCCCACAGCGCGTGACGCGAACGCACTGGACTCCCATTGTCTTCCCATCCATTGTTACAACGTTCAGAATGCATCCAGTCTGGTAAGATTAATATTGATACAATGTATTCAGTCAGAGAGCATATTAGGAACTTTTAGTTTATTATCCACTTTGTCCATTCAGAAATCCTCCATAATGCTAAATGTCACAAATTATTTACAACTCTACAATATAGCCAGACTGATTATTTTATTAAAAAGAAAACCTAATAGATCATTCATATTACAACAATCTATTCAGTTAAAGACAATTCAAGCTGTCAATCATTTTAATCTAATTCAATTCAATTCATCTTTATTTCTATAGCGCTTTTACAATGTAGATTGTGTCAAGGCAGCTTAGAAGATTATAGGGAATGAAGACTTTGTATATGACTTGTCAACTTAACTAAGCCCATGCAAGAATATCACGTTAAAGTACACTGGTAAATTCTTCTGGTATATTTTATAAATAAACAGTAGCTCAAGTTCAACCATGGAAAAACTGGCAATGTATTAGAAAAAATTACATGTTCTTTTCATTTCTATTCATATTCTATTAACAATCTATATTTATACAATTTAAAGCTTTGACTGGTAATTACTGACTTCATAGCCAAAATTCCACATAATGGTAAAGTCATTCATAGGCATATGTTTCTGACAATATGATAACCTTGGATAAAAATATCCTGGTTTCACGGTATTGTGATTACTGCTCTAAAATATATTCTTTTCAAATGTCTGGGTAAAAAAACTATTTTTTTTCACCCATTGAACACAATATATTATATTTTGAGAAACTTATAATTATTATAAATTATAATATTTTGGGGCAGTAAACATGTCAAGCCGAATAATGAAAATGAATCATCGATATTAGTTTCAAAAACACAGAATTCCTTACATTTTTTAAAAGGCATCTTAGGATATCTTTTCTGCTGGAGATACTGTTTTCCTAAAAAAAAAAAAAATTGTAAAAAAAAAAAAAAATCTAACACATACCTTAGGAACATTATAGCTGAAATTATAACCTTGTCTTTTCCAAACCGCGGTATACCTTGAATACGGTTATTGTTTGTGCCAGCAATCATTCATAAACTATATACATTGATACAACATATCTAGGAATAAAAAGTATACAATCCCGATAATTGCTACATCTCAAATGATCAGAGATAATTAATATTGCATCCACAAGAACTACTGATACTGCAACAACGTATCAAGTCAGAAAATATTTAGATAGCTACAACAAATTTAATCTGGACCAATTGATTGTTACAACCTATCCAGCCCGAAGCCATTCTTATAGTTTAATCTTATTCATTGAATTTCAATGATAAATTGTTTAAGTTTCTAAAACCTTAACCAGTCAGAGATCACTTCTATAATGTGTCTGGTCTGAAATAAATCATTAAAATGAATAGGCTCCTGGTATAATGTGCTGTACAGAAGTACTAATATTGTTAACGTATGCATTCTAGAACTATCAATATTTTTACCATGTAAAAAGTCCAGCATCGCTCATTCTCGTTCTTACAATGAATCATATTGCACAATATCCATATATCCACTCTAAAGGTATTTACCTTTTCATCACAAATCTGACTCCGCTTCACGTGCACCACGCACCACCAGCAGTTAAAGCTTCAAACTTAAAGCAGTTTATTATAAACCTCGCCGATCATTTTTCCTGCAATTAACAGCAAGAATGAAAATAGACGCGTTGTCTGAAGCAGCACCTACATGTGTTCAAAGAATCTAAAAAGCCCAATGGGACGAATTTTTGCCACATTTTCTAAAGTAATACTATCTGTATTTAGTTTTTCGATGTATGGTGGCTCTGAACTGTCATAACACCTCTCAAAACACTTTTTTAGACATTACATATTTCTACGCATGTACATTACTGTAACACATTTTACTGGTTTCAATACTTCATTTTCATTTTACTTAAAATATATTTTATTTTATAGCAATTCCAGCATTATGAATGTGACATTTGCATTAAATCAATCTTCAAACATGTTTTGTACTTTAAATGAGGAAAATAAACTGCACAACCCAAAAAAAAATAAAAAATGCTAATCACAAGGGTAAGACTCGGCTTATTATAGAACAAACATGATTGATTTGATTTAATATTTTTTACATTTATGAGGTAAAAGCTTACTTATGGATGTGACATCCTTTCTGTTATGGATGTGACCGATGTGAAATTGTCATTTGTGTGACTTTGGCAATTCAAATATAATTTTTTGAAAACATTGACACAGAGACATTTCTGAAGTACTTTAAAATACTTGCTTACACTAAAAATGTTTTGGTATTCTGGTGAAAACTTTACTTTTTTTCATGGCAAGGTTGACATTTGCATGGAATTGCTCATTTAACATAAACATATTTAATATATTTAATCTATTATTTATATGCAACAGTCAAGTTGCATGTTAATTTGCTATGCGAATAAACCAAAATATTTTATTATTGGCATGATAACTCATGTAAAATTATAAATATAGGTCTATATGATCACCTTGCGATTTTGAAATTGTTGTTTGTTTTTTTTGTTTTAACTGTTCAGTTAATAAGATCAGATCAAACTTTTATGAAGTTTATTTTTTTTAAATAAAATCAGTTGTTTACTGTATGAAAATATAACATTTTGAAATATTTATCGGCTAAAAAAAAAATAAAAAAATAAAATAAAAATAAACATATCAGTGCATCCCTAAACTGACATGATGCATCAAATGAGCATCAAGTCAGAAGTTACTCATGTGGTACAACAAATATATTTGTACTGTTCAGTCTAGAATATTTGCACTGTTACTAAATGGTATCTATTCCAGAATCATTAGCTACAACATATCAAGCCAACAGTCATACAGACTGTTACAACTTATCAAAACAAACATTAACAGTAACAACTAAACCACTTATCAGCTATCCAGTACAAGACTGTCAACAATGTAGAATATTTCACAATGTTCCACTGCTTACAGACAGAAATGATAAAGATAGTATAGGCATGGGACGTTTTCCATTTTCAAGGTATACCGCGCTTTGGAAAAGTCAAGGTTTTAAAATCGACAACATTGTCTTTAATAGGCTACCGTTCCAAAGGTATGTGTAAGTTTTTTATTTAGTTTTAGTTTTTTAGGAAAACAGTATCTCCAGCAGAAAAGATATGCAAAGACGCCGTTTTAAAATGTAAAGAAATCTGTGTTTTGGAAACAAATGAAGACAGCAGAAGTCAATGATTTATTTGAATTATTTAGACTGACATGTTTACTGCTCAAAAACATATTATATATTTCTCAAAATAAAATATATTGTCTTCAAATGCGAATTTATTTTTTTTTATTACCCAGACAATTACAAAGAATATTTTTTAAAGCAGTAGTCACAATGCCGTGAAACCGGCCCATGCCTATATGGAACATGTATCCAGTCTAAAGCCATCTATTCCAGAACCATTAAAGTTGATACAATGAAACAAGTCAGTAAATATGCAGACTGTTAAAATTGACCCAGTCTAGGACCGTTAATTGCAACAACCTGACCACTTATCACTAGGCCTGGACACAATCCATCAAGTGAGGAATCTTTCATAATGTTACACACGGCATGGTGATAGAATTAATAGTTTCAGTATGTGAATAGCTTGTGAATAGCTTACTATATCCAATTTAAAACTATGTATAATGACACAGCAGGCTATATCTTTTCCAGAACTTTCAAGTTAGTCAGGGGTCGTTAAAAGTAACATCTCCACCACATATCAAAGCTAATATTTTCGCAACGCGTCCAGAATAGGACCACTAACACTGACACGACGCATCAAGTGAACCCCCTCATAATGTTTTCATTGTATCCAGTCAGAAATCACGCCTGCGTTCTGGCGCACAATCAGCCCGACTTCCACCAAAAGCTCTGCGTGTCTCTCCTTCCTCTTCCCCCTCCCTGTTCTCGGCAGAACCCCTCGCCCCCCACCCCCTCATTTTCCCTCCTTGCCTCCCAGCTACTTCGGCAAATGTTAAGCGTTGCTTCCAACATTATTGCGTGAACATCCCTACGCGGCGCGTTCACGTTACATAAATCCGCGGTGGGATTTCGGATGTGCCACAAAGCGCGTTGTTTTCTTTAGTCGACTCACTAACGTGACAAAAAGCAGGGTGACACAAGGGACAGACATCAGACTAAAGAGAAGTTTGCGCTGTTAATATGTTGAGAGAAGCAGCGATGTTACTCACCCTGACAGCCCTGTCCTGCAGCACGGAGCCTGATGTTCCAGATAAAAGTGCGCTTGTTTTCCACTTCCCCGGCCCCTGTCTCCACACCCCAGGAACCGAGAGTGTGTTCGGGGTGGGGGGCCTGGGTGATAGGAATGATCTCGGACAGACAGCCAATTTGGAGTGAGGCACAGCAACGCACACTGTTATCCAAAACGCATGTCTCGGGGAGTCTCGAAGGAGCGCGTTAGCCGTCCGAAAAGCCTGTATTCCTGGCGTCTCCACGGAAAGGGGAAACGGTATCCCAGTATTTGTTCGTTGTATCCGGGCGCTTCGGTCGCCTCCTAATCCGCCATGTTGTGCCCCTGCGCCTGGAATGGGAAGCAGCGGATTCCCAGGCCCCTCCTCTCTCCTCTTCCCACGCAGAGATGCCGCGACATCTGGCGGACGACGCGCTTCCAGAAGAGGGGAATGTAAAGGCGCTGAGGAGCAGAGCGCCGACCCGCGGTCAGTTGTGCTAATGAAGGGTCTTTTTTATTATTCTTTTACTTGCTTAGCATTTCCAATCAAATGCATAATAAATATTACAATAATATATTCACATTTTAGCATAAAATAGCCTACTTAAAATTTAAAAAAGAAACAAACAAACAAACAAAGACTAAAAGAGCGTACACTATACATAACAATTACCATAAAGGAGTTTAGTTTTTGGAGTAGGCTATATTTACAGTTCTGGTTGCTTCACGAATTGAAAGTCCTTTAAGAGTTCTAAAATATTTTTAAATCAGCCTTGAAACTGAAGATCATTTACACTTGTGTAACCTATATGAAACTTGCCTACACTCTCAGAAATAAAGGTACAAGAGCTGTCACTGTCGCTGTGACTTAGGGGTACATATTGGTACCTCAAAAGCATATATTTGTTCCTAAACATTTTAACTAATATGTACCCTTCAGGTGCTAATATGGACCCTTTAGGTACAAATTTGTAGCTTTTGAGATGGTACCACCCCAGAGACAGCTTTTGTACCCTTATTTCTGAGAGTGTACTAATATAAGGTTTAACATAAGCCTCATATCTTTTTTTATCTATGTAAAATATGGCATATCTTTTCTTTATATTTAATCTATGACCACTCAGTATATTAAATAGACATTCAACATCAAATTAGAAATATTTAATATACATACAATCAAAAAACAAATGCAAAACAGTGTCAACATCCATTCCACAAAAACTCAAGATTCAGAAAGATCAAATATATGTCTTGAGAAACTGGTTGGTTGGATATATTTATGTACAATTTTAAAGTAGATTTCACTGACTTTCCTAAACTTTCTACTTTGCCATGATGACAGTAAATAATATTTTACCAAATATTTTCAAGAAACTTCTAGCTTAAAGTTACATTTAAAGGCTTAACTATAGGTTAACTAGGCATGTTAGGGTAATTAGCCAAGTTCTTGTATAAGGACGGTTAGTTCGGTAGACTATGAAAAAATATATAGCTTAAGAGGCTAATAATTTTGTCCTTAAATATTTTTTAAAAAAATTAAAAACTGCTTTTATTCTAGCCTAAATAAAACAAATAAGAAAATCTCCAGAAGAAAAAATATTATCAGACATAATGTGAAAATTTCCTTGCTCTGTTAAACATCATTTGGGAAACATTTAAAAAAAGAAAAATAAATTTAAAGGAGGGCTAATAATTCTGACTTCAACTATATAAGTAAAAAAAAATCTAATTTATATTCTCAAATTAGTTACCCCAAAAGTACTTATGTCTAAAAGTTGCAGGATAATGAATCAATGATTCTAAGAAATGTATTACATATACGTAACTTGACAATACTTTTTTTTCTCACCACCACACTGGTCTTTTTCACAAGACAACATTTTGTTGTTGGAAACTGTATTTTATATACTTAAATTTGTCTTTAGCATGCTAAAAATATGAGTAAGAGACGTTTTACTTGATTTGGGTCATTAAAAAAACTCCCTATGATGTATGTAGCCTATACCTGCTGTAGTCAACCTAAAACCTACAGTAGGTTGATATAAAACCAAAACAATACCCATTCTTGTCTTAGGACATTTTATTAAGCAAATTTTTGAATAACAGTAAGTTCATACAATGTTAAATATATAGTAAATCTGCTGGTTTTAAACAAACAGAATAAAAAAAAAAAACTTTTTATTACCTACACCAAATGTTGACAAATGAAGGTACATTTATAACAATGATTTTTTTGTTAGACTACTGTGATGTCAAACCATGTTGCATACAAATGCATTCAACAGACTTATATGACAGTGTATTGCTGTGGAAGACGAGACAGGTGTTTAGAAAGAGTGTACTTTATTTTGTTTGACCTGCATGGTTATCTAAACAAAATAAACTTTCAGAAAACAGCCCAGAAAACTTTATAATGCGCGCGCTCGTTAATATAACCCACGGTTGTCTTCAACTGTTTTCTTCAACGGTTGTCCTTCTTTGCTCAACAACTCAGCTGAAAAACAAAGCAAAACATTACAACAGTCAGACATAGAGCAAATAACATAGAATCACCAAGAGGCGACACTCTAGTGCAATTTGGGAAACAGAATCCGGGGTCTGTTGCTGGGCGCTGCTGTTGCAGTGGAGCGTTCTATTGAGTGTCGCCTCTTGGTCATTCTAGGCTTTTTGCATAAAGTTAAATCATAACAGTTATCATGGTTTCTATTTTAAACCATAGTAAACTAAAGTTTGAAACTAGTTTAAAATAGAAGATGAGTGGGCCTCGCTGCTCCCACCCACCATAACCCTCGCAGCGAGGACCCACTTCCGGCCTCCCGTGTTTCCCTGAGGGTCACGGCGAATTACTGCCTGCTATGGACAAAAACATATTAAATATATTCAATATATATTTTTACATTTTTGGTGCTGTGTAATATTCTGGGATGCAGTAGAATATAGAGACAGATGAATATAATTGGGCTTATGCTGAGCTAGTGTTGTTCCCACACTTATAAACTTCCGGTGACCTGTTGTTGTGAGTTTTTTTTTTTGTCATTTTATACGGTTCCTTTTACAGCATTCATGTTGTAATGTAATTAAAATACATTCAGTTAAATAAATTTTGGCATTCGTTTAGTTGTTCAAGCGTAAAACGAGACAAAAGACCTTTTACTCGCACTCGCCTGTCAGAATCGGCAGGCTAGCGCAGAAGCTCCATTGAATATACAGGGGTAAAATAAATGCTCATATTATAAAGACATGGCGGGGAAAATGTCATTTAATGCAGTGCTTCTTGTACAATCTGAGGCCCACTTTATATCGGATATCACTCAGCCAGTGGAGATCGCTGATTTTTAAAGAAAACAGACCTTAAACACGCAGATTTTTCCGTTGGCATAAAGTTCACCGGAAGCGCTTAACCCAAACTACTGGCAAATTAAAAGTCCTATTAGCATGCTTCGGCATATAGTGTTGGGCAGAAGCGTCGCTACTCGCTTTCACTTTTCAGTAGCGAAGCTAAATTATTAGTCAAGTAGCGCAGTAGCGTCCACGCAAGCTACATCTACCAATCGTGGATCAATAAGTGACTATATATATATATATATATATATATATATATATATATATATATATATAAACAACTAAAGTATTTTAAATGTGTAACACCTTGTTTTATTTATTTTTTTGTTTTAGCTGTCATATACCATAATGTGTTTCTGTTTAGAACAGCATATTATTTACAGTAAGTAATTGAACTGAACTATTATGCCTCATATGTTTCATTGACATTTTTATTGATCACTAAGATATGATTGTCTTGGATTTAAGTTGCTTTGATTTTAAAATGAAAATTGTAAAAATAGCTTATATGTAGCTAAGCTACTTTTGCCATGTAGCTTTTAGCTTGCTACATTTCCCAGGGGGTAGCTTTAGTGTAGTTAAGCTACATTTTTAGTAGAGTAGCTAATAGCTTAGCTTACTACATTTGTCAAGTAGCTTGCCCAACACTGATTATTTTCTATCTTTGATATTAACACCATCTAATAAAATCTAATATTAATAGTTTATTTGGTTCACTGTAAACATGCAAAATCCTCACTAGGCCTACTGGTATTGCATCAGTTCTAATACTATAACCACATGGAGGCACTGGAAAACGTAACTTCTCTAGATATTCAGTATAAGTCAGTAAATATCCTTCGTTGAATAACTGCGAAACCATTAGAATATCTTTTAACTCGATTATCATATAAAATTGATGTAATGACAGGTCTGAGAGCAGCACTGCTAGCATCAAGACACCATTTAACCCAAAGGTCTCAAACTCCTGGAAGGCCGCAGCTCTGCATAGTTTTGCTCAAACCCTGATAAAACAGCTGATCCAACTAATCAAGGTGCTCATGACTCTTTTGAACACCTTGATTATTTGGATCAGCTGCGTTTGATGCGGCCATCCAGGAATTGAGTTTGAGACCTTAGATTTAACCCTTGCCCGTGTGCATCGATTTGAAAAAGTTATAAATAGCATAGATCAGGGGTGACCATACTCGGTCCTGGTGGGCCTGCAAAGCTATGGGCTAGCTAAAATCTGCAGGACATCAGATTTTCAGGACTGATTTCGGGCACCCCTGGCATAGACACACATAAAATGTGAGTCTTAGTAGAAGAATCATAAATTTGAATAATATTTAAACTTTTAATTTATAACTATATTATCAACTTTCACTTACTATTTTACCAGCAGCAGCAACCCTGATGATGTCAAGAATTAATTTTAAGTATTTTTAACCCTTTAAAGCAGGGGCGTCCAAAAACTCAGTCCTGGAGGGCCGGTGTCCTGCATGGTTCAGCTCTAACTTCCTTCAACACACTTGACTGTACAGGGATGTCCAAACTATGTACAAACTGCATAGTTTAGCTCCAACTTTTTTCAACACACCTGCCTGGAAGTTTCTAGTATACCTAGAAAGAGCTTGATTAGCTGGTTCAGGTGTGTTTACTTGGGGTTGGAACTAAAATATTCAAGACACCAGCCCTCCAGCAACAAGTTTGGGCACTCCTGCTTTAAGCTGTAATTTGTTTATGGGTCTCAAACTCGATTCCTGGAGGAGTGCAGCTCTGCAGTTTTGCTCCAATCTTAATCAAACACAGCTAATCCAACTAATCAAGTTGTTCAAGGGTCTTTAACACCTGGATAAGCTGTGTTCGATTAAGATTGGAGCAAAACTGCGCAGAGCTGCGGCTCTCCAGGAATTGAATTTAAAACCCATGATTTAAAGTGTACACACTTTTTTTGAACAAAATAGCAATACAATACACTTTTTTCAATGTTTACTAAAGGCTAAGCAGATTATGTATTATTGTACAATCTTGGATAAGTCAGTGGTCAAAAAGGATATTAACATCATCACTGATTAGTTTTC